ACAACGCGAGTTATGCTCGATTTTTTGCCGATTTTTGACACACCACGCCAAAAAGGTTGCCCATCACTGGTCTAGGCCCTAGGAGGTCAAACCACCTAGTAGGGTTGTATTACCTATTATCCTTCTTATCTTTTCATCTTTCCTATTACCTATTTCCTTAGCTTTTTATGACTATCATTTTGTTGTTTGTACCTTATGATTTATGTTGATGGCCTTTATTTAGTATCCTATTATGGTTTATGCTCTGTTTTTATTTAGTAACCTGACTGTTACTGAGTTTGTATCTTATTATTTATGATTATTGTATTTTATGATTAGGATCATGATTCATCACTTGTTGCTTGTACCGTGTTTCCCTGAAAATATGACATGTCCTGAAAATAAGGGCATGCCACATTTTTTGATTGGATAAAAATGTAAGCCGTCTCCCAAAAATAAGCTCTCTGGACAACCATCACCCCTTCGGCCAGGCAGAGTGCCGGTCACTGACCTAGCGGTATCATGAAAGCACCAAGCCACAGAACAAGTTGGGGAGAAAAGGCTTGTGTTGCTTGGGTTCTTCATAGCTGGAGAGGGGGGGTTGCGCAAGCAGCTTTTCTGCTCCCTGCTCACGCACCTCCCAGGCTCATGATGCCCTAGCCCAGCTCTCCTTGCAGAGCCAAGGTATCTCCACTGCCACCGCCGTCCCCCGCCGCTGCCACATGGCTTTTTCTGCAGTTGCCGCTCTGGGAGTACGCTCTATGGTTGTACGCTCTGTTGGCTGCCAGCCCACAACCATAGAGCGTACTCCCATTGTGAGCCTGGAAGGCGCATGAGTGGGGAACGGAAAAGCTGCTCGCGCAACCCCCCTCCCCAGCCATGCAGAGCCCCATTCACTGACTTGGGGCATTCCGAAGGCACCAAGCGCAGGAGCTGGAAGGCGGCGAACAGGCACTCACACAGCTTGGCGATACCCCTAGGTCAGTGAATGGCGCTGTGCCCCCCTGTAAAGGGGGGTTGCCGGGAGCATGGTCACTTCATGGATGCTGTGTAGTGCTGCTGCGACAGCGCAACACAGCTGTTTGACCCTGAGGCTGTGCCTGGCTCTTTGGGAGCCTGCTCGCAAGAGAGCAGCCACCCAGCAACCCCAAAACAATAAGCCCTCCCCTGATAAAAGGGCCCAAGCCATATTTTGTGGGTCAAAAGAAAATAAGACCCTGTCTTATTTTCGGGGAAACACGGTCAGAGATATTATTAT